GCCTGTAATCCCAGCTACTCGAGAGGTTGAGGCAGGAGAATCACTTGAACCCAGGAGGCGGAAGTTGCAGTGAGCCGAGATCATGCCATCGCACTCCAGACTGGGGAAGAAGAGCAAGATTTCATCTCAAAAAAAAAAAGGAAATGTAACTCACAGAATGTGGAGATACTGATAAAACAACAATAAATGCATTGTCATGGACAAAGACCATGGTAGAAACTGTTGTCACACGTGTACCATTAAAGAATTGGCAAGAAAGTCATTGTTTTTAAAAGTTATGATGTTGAGCTTTTTTTAAAAGGAGGCAGGTCACGTCAAAACTTTATGCTTTGAACTTATTCTCTGCTCTCGAATTAATGTGGTTCATTGCCTCCAAACATAAAAAAATTTTAAACACATCAAAGAGATATGAACTGTGGTGAGACTTGGGACTCCTCAGTGTGTGTACCTTAGCAGCTATCATGTTCCTCTTGGGCCAGAAGCAAAAGAGCCACCAAGATCCTTTGTGTGTCTGTGCCACAAGAGAAATTCTGACTCCTTTACAACTCCTCTCTGCTAGCCCAGTTATCCCTTTGGATGAGGCTAGGGCAGGGGTGCTCATGGATTGACATCAGCAGGGGATGGGCCCAAATGTGGGGTGAGGAGCTGCACTCCTTGCCGAAGAGAAGCATAAACTCAGACTAAGAAAAGGTGCTATAGTCCGGAGGCATGCTTGGGTCTAACATCAGAAAATTATGCAATTATCAAATTTAATGCTAAAAATATTAAAATACATAACATGATTTAGAACATTTCTTCAAATTTCAACTTAATGCCAGGGAACTGCGTGTTAATAACTACTTTATACATGTGATTCTGGCTCCTGGCACAATCATGCAGGACTGGGGTTGTGTTATTGCATATGTGGGAGGTTATTAAATGCTTTATAATGATTATGTTAAAGGTCATATTCCTCGTACACATAACTTCACTTACTATTATGAGTTAGACGGGTACATGAGTAGACAATGGTCTTCTTCCATTAAATGCAAACTCGCTGAAATTACTATTTAAGTTGCCAGGCCGAATAAGTAAAGAGATCAAATTAATGAGGATGAAGTTGTATAATCAGTTTATAAAACAGATCATGCTGAGGTCAAGGCTGACATCACCAGCTCCCACACATCTAACTACACCTAAAAAGGTGGCTCTTCTCTTTATTACCACTACCACTGCTCTAATTCAAGCTGTTTCTTACTTCTCTTCCATTCACATATAGCTGACAAATCATTTATCTTGGCAAACACCAATCTGATCCTGTCACCCATCTCAGAAACTTCTGCAGTCTTCCCACTGCTTGAGGGACAGAGGCTCAACTCCTCAGGAGGGCATTCATGGTATTCCTAAGTTTGGACCATTCTTCTAATTCAAGGATTTTCAACCCTGGATGAACATCAGAACCATGAGGGGAGCTTTAAAAAATAAACAGGCTTATGTCCCACACCCTGAAACTCTATTTACTAGTTCTGGGCTAAGATCTGGGGACTTAATATCTTTAAAAATATCTATGGATGACTCTTACCTACTGCCAGGATTGAACCAGTGGTCTAATTCCCCACCGCCCTCCCATTGTTTCAGCCAACATGAATTAACCCTTCTGCTCCACTCAGTAATGCTTTGTTTGCTTGTGCTGCCAGTCCTCTATTCATGCTGTTAATCCAACCTGGAATATCATTTCCTCTCTAGCTGTTTCTTTTTTTTTTTGAGATGGAGTTTCACTCTTGTTGCCCAGGCTGGAGTGCAATGGTGCAATCTCGGCTCACTGTAACCTCTGCCTCCTGGATTCAAGTGATTCTCCTGTCTCAGCCTCCTGAGTAGCTGGGATTACAGGAGCATGCCACCATGCCTGGCTAATTTTTGTATTTTTAGTAGAGATGGGGTTTCATTATATTGGTCAGGCTGGTCTCAAACTCCTGACCTCAGGTGATCCACCCGCCTCAGCCTCCCAAAGTGCTGGGATTACAGGCATGAGCCACCATGCCCGGCCTAGCTTTAGTACTATTCTTCTAAAACTAAGTGAAATCCCACCAGTATCCTTACAACCATGGGGATATAATATTTCCATTCTGAGAATCCAAAAGGCATTTTTTATGTTTATGAAGCATTTTATGTCAATTAATCACATATTGTTTTCAATGTGAATGTTTAATATTATTCTCCCTATATTTCAGACTTCCCAGGGAAGGCAAACTTTATTTATTTATTTATTTGAGATGGAGTCTCACTCTGTTGCCAGGCTGGAGTGCAGCGGTGAGATCTTGGCTCAGTGCAACCTCCGCCTCCCAGGTTCAAGTGATTCTCATGCCTCAGCCTCCTGAGTAGCTGGGACTACAGGTGCCTGCCACCACGCCAGGCTAATTTTTTGTGATTTTAGTAGAGATGGGGCTTCACCATGTTAGCTAGGATGGTCTCGATCTCCTGACCTCGTGATCCGCCCACCTTGGCCTCCCAAAGTGCTGGGATTAGAGGCATGAGCCACTGCGCCAGCCCGAAGGCAAACTTTATATAACATCTTTTGTTCCCACTTCCTAGCCCCTAGCATTGACCACAGTATTAAGCATAAAGTAGACACTCATGTGCTCAATACTTATGACTGAATAAATTATCTGAAATTTATGAAGTGTTTTCTCTTACAGCCTGACAACCTTAACCGTCAACCTTGAGGGTTGTTTATGTACATACTGATGTTTTTCTTACCAGAAGCATTATTATGCTTATGTAAATGAGAATCACTTGTCCACAAAAACTGATGTGATGTCAAATACAGGGGTGATACCTGTAAATGTGTTTTTTTCCTATAGATAGAAGTATTTTCTATGTTTATATATTCAATTCCCATAAGTTTGTATCACATCCAAAAGGAGGAAGCAGTAAAATAGTCCCTGATCTGTCAATACCTGACTTACAAACAACCCACTCATGTGAAAGGATAGAGAAAACCCCATTTACCATCCTAATCAACCGTGGGAAAGATCAGAAGAGCAAGTGTCCCTTTGCCCTCAATTTAGGTGACATGAGAGTAACAGCAATCTATAGGTAAAAGTCTCTCCTGTAAATACTGAAAACCAAGAAGCTTCTGATGGTAGAATAGCCAACACTGTCAGAGCCCCAGCTCAGACTCTCCTACTGTTCAACCTGCCCAGAAACTTTCTGTCCTGTTCCTAGAGCATGGGAGATATATTTTCATATCCAGAGCTACAATCTCTCCACAAAACAGCATTGTACACCATGGCTGCCCATAGTGAAAGGAGTGCTGGTACTTATGAGTTAAATAGTCTTGGGAGGGCTGGCTGAGAACCTAACCACTATTTATAACATTGTTTTTGTGGAAAAACGCATTCTGCATTCCAAACAACAGAACTAGACATGAACTTTTGGAATACAGTGTATTTCTTCAGTCAGGAACTGACTGTATCTTGTTAACTGCACTAGGGTCAGTATTTTCCTAGGGTAAGATGGCAACTAGGAGTGCAGAACAAGAATGGTTGCCAAGAATATGGAACATATGCATTTATATGGATGAAAGACAAAGGAAATGATGAGAGAAAAAGCCAAGCACACTCTTATTACATAAATATTTACTAAGCATTATTAAAGGCTATGGTGAAAGCTGTAGGAGACAAAAATCAGACAAGATCTTTGATTTTATAGTTCTTACAATGTATGGTGGGAGATAAGACAAACATAAATACAAACAATAAAGCTGCACGGTAAAATATGCCACAATAGTGACACAAACAAAACATCAGATGACACTGGCAGAGAGAGAAAGAACTAGTGCTTCTAGCTGGAGTAATCAGGGAACATGTCATAGAGAGGCTTGCACAGGGTTTCAATGTGCAGAGGAAACAGAGTCAGGGCAGCAGGGGACATCACAGGCAGGAAGGCCAGTACAAGTCAAGACAGATGCATGAAGAACAAGGAGACTTCAGAGTACAGGAAAAGCCCAGTTGGCTTAAGTGGGGTATGTTTTCAGGACCTTGGTGGGGGGCTTTGAATGCCAGGCAAAGGAACACAGATTCCATCCAAGAGGGAGTTGGAAGCCATTAAAGCATTTTAAAATTACTAAAAGTAGTTCTATATGCAGGTTTATCTAACAATGAACACAGGACAGGGGAAGAGAGAATGAATACAGAAAGATTATTAGGAGATCACTGTAAGAGTTGAGGGTGATTAAGATGACCTTTCAAAGATTTTTTTACACTAACAGTTAATAAACATTTAAGGTTCAAGTGCTAGTTAATTAACAAAGTACTTCTTTAAATAAGAACATATAAATAATTTAGAAAAGTTGCATAAAGACTTAAAAAACTAAATATATATATATAAAAGCTATAATACAAAAGCATGTTTAGCACTTAGGATTTTTCAACTAGACTTGATACAAATACAAGGATGATTTTAATGTGTTAGTCTCATTTAGACAAATAACACCATGAGTTTAAAACTGAACAATTTATTTTATTTTATTTTTCTGATATGGAGTCTCACTCTGTTGCCCAGGCTGGAGTACAGTGGTATGATCTCAGCTCACTGCAACCTTGGCCTCTAGGGCTGAAGCAATTCTCCTGTTTCAGCCCCCAGAATAGCTGGGACTACAGATGTCTGCCACCATGCCCAGCTAATTTTTGTAGTTTTGGTAGGGATGGGGTTTCACCTTGTTGGTCAGGCTGGTCTCGAACTCCTGACCTCAGGTGATCCACCCATCTCGGCCTCCCAAAGTGCTGGGATTATAGGCGTGAGCCACCACGCCTGACCAGAACATTTTATTTTTATAAGCATGTGAAATTTAATAAGAAATCATTTTCCCACTATCTCCCAAGACCAGTGATTCAACATACCAGGTGACTAGAAGATATGCTGAGAAATTTGAGAGTTGAGATGTCCAAGTTAGCGAACTTAATTCTTTGCATTTTAAATAAACCTTAAGCTGGTACCAAGCTAGATGTGAGCAGACTTACCTGAAGTGATTTGACTTAGCAAATGTCTTCTAACTTTAACACTTCAGTACTGGATGGGAAATGGCATTCATTTCTATCTGAAAACAAATGCAGTGGAAATAACAAAATTAAAAAGAATTTCTACGTACCTTATAGAAGCCAATCAGATGATTGCGCCTGAAAGACCATAAAAGAGTTATATGAAGTTCTATAAAATTTACAGTTCTGATACCATGTATAATTTGAGAATCTAAAATAAAAATCTCAAGCTGTGCTCAAAGACTTCTAAAATAGGAGATATATTGTCTTCACTTATTTTTATGTCAACCTCCTAAAAATTTTAGAAAACATATTATTAGATATTTAACCCTGATTTAAACTGAATTATTTAAAATTTAGCTGGCATTTGTGCCCTACTCAGTATCATAGGGAACAGGGAGCCATGAAGTTGAATAAGAGACAGTTCTTGTCCTTAAGAAATACAAACCGCCATAAGAGGCAAACACGAAAAACTCTATATTGAGGTAGATGTAGTAAGTGCTACAAGTGACACAAGGCACTGTGGGATTTTGGAGTATGTTAATTACTATAAGGAAAATGTGGGAAGGCTCTGACTTATGGACTGAATACAAACAGAAAGAGGGAAATGGGGAGGGAGGTCTATAAGGACTAGGATTTGGGGCTGAGATTATATTGTAAGAAGCTGCATGCTAGAGTCAGTACATGGGGCTTTATTTTGTATATAAAGAGACATCAAGGGTGTTTGGCAGAAAACACATTCAAATTTGTATTGTAAAAGATGGCTCTGGCTTTCAAGTGTAAGTTACCATGAGAAAATTCAAAAAGCAGTAAGATCCATTTTGTTACTACAGTAGTCAAGATGAGAAGAAATCAGAGTAACTGCAATAAAAGTAAAAAGTTTAAAATTCTCTGAAGATATACTTGAAAATGAGAAGCATAATAACCACCTAAACAATTATGCAAGACTGAGACCTGAAACCATCACCAACATTCAGTTATACGGTTACAAACGTAGGATTCTTAGGCCACAATAGACCTTTCTTTCCGATCAGAACCATGCATTGTTTACATCAACCATGAACTTAAGAAATCAGCCAATCCAATGACTCGCTTCATTTCTGATAACCTGTCCTAGAATTTCGGAGCTCCAATCTATAATACAAATCTTACACAAATTTTCTCTAAGGAGGTATCATTTCAGAATCATCCGTGTAGTCTTATTTACTGCACTAAGTCAATAGAACAGTTTGCACATCTCCTAAAAGGTTTATTTATTTCAGAAGGGGCCTTCCACAAAATACGGATATCTATCAATGAAGTCACGAAAGAAGAGCAAAAGAAGAACGTGCCCAGTCCTGTCTTTTCAGGGCAGAAGAACTGAGAATAATTTACCAGTCACTGGGAATCTTTGGAATACGTTTCAGAAAGGCAAGAGAAGTAAACAAAGACTTCAATAATTGGCAAATTTTTTTAAAGGAGAAAAAGTGGAATTAATCAATTTCAGTCTTCTAAGAAGTCTGGCATACTTTGAAAGTGAAGCTGAATCTTTAACAAGGTTTTCGTCGTTGGTGGTTTTTTTTTTTTTTTTTTTTCATTTTTAATGCTAGTAACAGGAAGAAATATAAGGGAGATTGCTAAATAATGGAACAAATTCAAGAGAAGACAGGAACAGGAGCTTTTGTGCAGTTAATCATGTTAAAGAGGAGAAACAGTTGTTTCTCTACGGTTAGAAATAGAAGAAAGGATAGGTGATGAATATAAACATTTTGTGTGTAAGGCAGTAAAGTTGAGGGAGTTTAGACCCAATCACAAGACCATCTATTGAGACAGAGGGAAAGAGGGAAAGGGAGGAGGAGAGAATGGAGAAAAAGAGATGGAGAGAAAGTATATGAACAGAAAAAAAATTTGAATTTAAGAGTTTAAAAGAAAAAAAATTGCCAGAGAATAAGAAAACAGAAAAGAGGGGCTTTCAGTATTTAAGATACTGAAACAATTCTGGCTGGCAAAACACTGTGAGTTCTGAGTATCAGAAACTCAAAAATATGAATTTGGAGAAACAGATTATAGTCACATGGTATGGGTTGACATTACTTTCAAGCCCGGTGGTGACACCACTGAAGAATTTGGAGCACTGTCCTGGAAGTCAACCAGTAACAGGAAGTAGAAAAGGGAGATGGTAGTGAAAGAGTTACAAGAAAAGGAACTAATGAACAAAGGTGGCATGCCGAGCCTTGAACTGATACTGGTAAGCAAAGGTACAAATCAAGCCTCCTTTAAAAACTAGGATTTTTTAAATGCCATGCTTTTTCTTGAGATGGTTAAAAAAAAAAAAAAATTACAGCCTTTGAATGCCAGGTTTAAATTTCTAGGGAAGAGAAGGGAAAACAGGTATGAGAAAAGATCAAAGTTATAAAACTTGTTCACAATAGAGCATAAGGTCCAAACAACATAAGGAACTGAAAGTAAGTCAGCAGTGGACTGTGGGTTCCATCTGAACTGGGAAGGCATGACTGCTTGGAAAAATGGACCATAATAAGACTAGGACGTCACCTAAGTTGTAGGTGACAAAACACCAACCTTTCTCCCTCTTTCTGACACATCTGTTTGGTGAGAAAGGGCAAAAGACTGGCCACATGTGTCATCAGTCTTTGACTCTCAGAACTTGCTTGCCCAAATGCAAATACATTGTCCAGTCATCTACATAGTAAACGCTACAGGAAAAGTTAAGTCTATCCAATTTGAAGGGGTAGGAAGACAAGATGCAAAGCTAGGTGTATTCTTTTACCTAGTTTCTCCATAAACAAAACTGACATTTTCATTCTCATCTTAAGTCTACTTCTTAAAGAGTTCAAAAGAAAGAATTAAAAAGTGATATAATTAATTGGTCCCTTCAAACTCCAACAACAGGGATGTAAAGTAAATAAATGGAAAGTATGAAGAAAACCATACGGGGGGTGGGTTGAGGGGAGAACTCGTCAGCTACAGTGGTTTTAAATTTCTAGACACACTCAAGGACTTAATACTGAGACCCAATTTAGTTGATGAATGCCACTGGAGGTGGGGAGATTTCTAATTAAGGAGTCGATACCTCTAACAGATATAGCAGTATTCAGATTTTTTACTTCTGTCGCCCAGGTTGGAGTGCAGTGGCGTGATCTTGGCTCACTGCAAGCTCTGCCTCCTGGGTTCATGCCATTCTCCTACCTCAGCCTCCCAAGTAGCAGGGACTACAGGCGCCTGCCACCACGCCCGGCTAACTTGCTGTATTTTTAGTAGAGACAAGGTTTCACCGTGTAAGCCAGGATGGTCTCAATCTCCTGACCTCGTGATCTACCCACCTCGGCCTCCCAGAGATTTTTTACTTCTTTTGAGTCATTTTTATGTTGTATTTTTCAAGGGAAAGTGCTAAATAATGGAACAAATTCAAGAGAAGATGGAAAAAGAATGTTAGTGCAGTCATATTAAAGAGGAGAAACAGTTGTTTCAAAGAATCTGTTTATTTCATTAAACTGTCAAATGTATTGACATAAAATTGTTCATAATATTTTCTTATCCCTTATATATTTCCTGGATCTCTATTAATATTTCCTGTTTATTCTTATATTGTTAATTTGAACTTTCATTTTTTTTTCTCAGTAGGGGTTTATCAGTTTTGTTAATCTTTTCAAAGAAACAACTTTTGGTTATGTTGATTTTTTCTACTTTACACCTAGTACTCTTCCAGATTTTTTTTTTTTTTTAACTGACATTCTGCCTACTTGTTCTATCAATTGAGAGAAAAGTGAGAAAGAGAAGTGTTGAGATAACTAACTGTAATAGATTTATCTATTTCTCTTTTCTGTTCTGTCCATTTTTGCTTCAAGTATTTTAAGGCTCTTATTATTAGGCTTATAGACATTTAAAATTATGTCTTTTTAATTAATTGATTCTTACATCATTATGAAATATTTCTCAATACTGCTAGTATTATCTCATGTTTTGAAGTTTATTTTATTTGCTATTAATATACCTCCCTCCAGTTTTCTTAATAATTAGTACCTGCATGGTATCTCTTTTGATTATTTTACTTTTAACCGCTTAGTATATATTTGAAGGGAATATTTTGTAGACAGTATAGTTAGGTCTCGCTACTTTATCCAGCCTGATGATTGCTGTCTTTAGAATATTTAGATGATTTAAACTTAATGTAATTATTTATATGGTTGGATTTGAATGAATTATCTTGTTATTTTCTATTTGTCCCAATCTGTTCTTGTTCCCTTTTCCCTTTTTTTCTGCCATATTTGAAATAGAATTTTTTTAGTTTTCCATTTTATCTCCACTACTGGCCTATTATAAATATACTTGTATCTTTGTAGTTTTAGTGATTGCTCTCATGTTTAAAATATGCACATTTAACCTGCCACAACATAACTTCAAATATTATACCACTTTACATACAAAATATAAAAACTTCATAATAAAATTTATCTATTTCTTCCTTCCTGTCTTTTGTGCTACTGTCATCATAGTCTAACTACTGTAGGACCATCATAGTCTAATTACTGTAGACTACATAGTCTAACATGTAGAGAAGCTATATGCAGGTCCTCGGGTTGACAGTCTCAGATAAAACTAGGTTTTGGGTTATCTTTGCCAAAGTGCCAGAAATGTGATTACAGCTGTCTTCAATCCTCCAGACCCCACTGAGCTCATTCTCGAGTTGAAGGCCACCAAGTGATCTCAGGTGATGCTACATGAAGAAGAATAACCACCGGCTGAGCCTGCCCTTTTCTCTGGCCCACAAATTGTGAGGTACAATAAAATGGCTGTTGTCTTAAGGGGATGTGTTTAGGTAATTTCTTACACAGAATTAGAGAACCATAACAGAATCTAGTAAAGGGAAGTGGAATTCTGTAATAAAATCTTAAAATATGTGGCATTGGTTTTGGGACCAGAGGTGAGCAGAAGCTGGAAGTGACTTAAGAAGACTGTTAGTGAAGGTTTGAACAACATTAATGAAAACCTTATGGAGGACAGAGGAATAACTCTTCTTATGCAGTGGGAAGTTTGTAACACTGTTCCTCACATGAAATAG